GTTGTTGGCGGCCCAGACCTGGTGGCTTAAACTCATGCCGGGTGCATGTGTGTACGTGCGTGCCCAAGATCCCGAGAGGAGAATGGAGGAGAAGGGATTGCGGCGTGGCCATCCTCCCTGGGGGGTGATTTCTTGCTTTTTGTCTTTCTGGAGAGCGCATGTACCCTATAGCAAAAATATTTACCAGACTATCTATTGCATTCAATTACATGTCCTAAAATCTATTTATAAAACTTAGTTCTTTCAAAAACAAATTAAAGTAAAAATAGTTAGAAGGCAGTGGAGGTTAGAAAACCTTCAAGCTAAACAAGCAGAATCTGAACGAGTGGGAATGAGACAGTACGTGCTAATAAATCTACCCCTGCCGTCAGCTGTCCTGGCCACGGTGACTCTCACCCACTTACATTTCTACAGCCAATTTATTTTCTCTTGCTTTTAGGAAATCTAACATGTGTACTAGTTTTCAATTTGTCCGTCAAAAAAAAAAAAATGAGGGACTATTTGCTTTATTGAAGGGATGTCTTGATTTTGCGACGTCTTAAGACAGTACTCATCTGAGACAATACGGAGGACACTAGTGTGGGTGGGTGGGTATGTGTCACGCCCACAAAGACGGAGGGTCGCAGGCTATAACCCGGGCTCAGCTGCAGCGGGGGTGGCCAGGCTTCGCGAGAGCCAGCTGGCGAACGTCTGGTGCTCGGCGGCCGAGAGGCCCCTGCTGCAACTACTTGACCCTTCGCTGTGGCATGAAAGCAACCAGACACTACGTAAGTAAAGCAGGTGTGGCTGTGTCCCAGTAAAACCTCGTTTGCAAAAACTAAAACCAGGCAGAACTGACATGGCCACACTCCAAGAACCGCACCTATCAGTGTTAGGAATGATGCCGTACCTCAGGCCAGAGTCCACGAATGTAGAAAAGCAGCTACTTAAATATCTCTGAGGTTGTGGTAATATGGTTCTGAATACATCCAGTAGCCAAGAATAATCAAAGAAAGGTTTCTTTTTTTCTTTTTCTTGGAGAGGTTTTTGCTATAGGGCGCATGCGCTCGCCAGACAGACAGAGACAGAGAGACAGAAAGCAAGAAATCACCCCCAGAGGGGATGGCCACGCCACAATCCCTTCTCCTCCATTCTACTCTCAGGATCTTGGGCACGCACGCACACATGCCCGGCATGAGTTTAAGCCACCGGTTCCAGGACGCGAACCGTGGTCGACTACATGCGAGTCCAGCGACATAGCCATTACGCTAACTGCTGGTCCCAGAAAGGTTTATTTAAGCTTTAAGTCTTTAGAAAATCGAGAGTAACTAGCCCTATTCCATATGGGGATCCTGCTTTTGTTTCCCTCATCCTGGTTCATCTGGAATCTGATTTCTGGGTTCCACTTACTCCATAACAAGCAGTTTTCCCACTTTCATCTCTCTAACAGTGATGACGGGAAGCCCCACCTCACACACTCACCGCTCTGTCCTGGGGCCCTGACGGTGGGGACGGGAAGCCCTACCCTCACACTGGGTTGCAACACTGTCCACCATGACCCTAAAATGTGATTTCCAATTGTGTACCCCTACCCTCACACACTCACCGCTCTGTCCTGGGGCCCTGACGGTGGGGACGGGAAGCCCTACCCTCACACTGGGTTGCAACACTGTCCACCATGCCCCTAAAATGTGATTTCCAATTGTGTATATTTTGTCTGCATCAAGAAAGTGCCTACCGTGATGACCCTGGAAAAAGCACATTTCAACTGTTAAAATGTCTGAGGATAAATACTTTAACTGGTCTACACTAATGAATATCCATCCAGGCAATCAGAGCTGGACGTGGAGAAGCCGTTTGAACACTCGGGCACTTGCCCTGGGAAACCGATGGCACGTCCCTGGCACTGGCTGCCGAGATGCCGGGAATGCGTGTCCATGTAGCGGGCACTTGGACGTGACAGATGTCCTGGGGTACGTCACCTGCAGTTGTAGATGTGTCTGCAGGCCGAGGCTGCACACGGGTTTCTCTGTTTAGTTCTTTGGAATGGACTGTCTGGGGCAGAGCTGACTTCACAACTGGTTTTGATGCCTCCGTTCTCAGGGGACTAACGGGAGCTTCTTGAAGCCGCTCGCTAATTTGTACCTCACAGTTTTTAGCATTGGTGGTGCATGTGGTAGATTTCGCTGGGGAAGAAGCAGCTTTCTGAAATATGAAAACACTTCGGGTAAACGACAACATTCACAATATCTACAGTCCTTAGAACAATTCCCACCCTGTTTCAGCTTTATGTAAGAGCTTGAGAAATAATCTTGCTCTCTACATAGACTAAACTAACGTAAATGGTTTGAAAACAAAAGAAATCGACCTAGAAAACGCTACTACTTAAAGCGGGCCTGCCGTTCCGTCTCGTCCAAAGCCACGCCGCTACTTCAGGGGCAGTGCTGAGATGGAACGCAGACCTGTCTGCCCCACGCTTAGCTCCACACTACAGAGAACAGTCAGGGACCAAACACTCTTCTTTGTTTTTTAAAGACTGCTTTTTCAAACTGCTGGTGACACAGGTGCAAAGCAAGTTTCAAGCATTTCTCAGGGTGTGCGGCACGGGCTGCAGGCACCGACACCGCATGGCACCTCGCCCTCTGCAGCAGCTGCGGCAGAAGCTGACCATGTCTTTTCAGAAGGATTCGCATCTTCTCTTCACACTTTCACGTGAGACATCCGAATGGGACTCGCTTTCAGTACTCTCCTTGACAACCAGGAAAAGGCTCGCTGTCCCCTCACTGCCTACTTGGGATCTGCACTGAGCGAGTATAATTTCAGCTGTCATCTGCTCATGTATCTTGGCAGAGGGTACCAAATTTATGATTCTCACTTTCTATGAAATGGATACTTTAAAAATGCACATAAACACACCACCCACACACTATACGAAACGCACACCCATGCATTACCAATCATAACAAAGCAAGAAGTTCCCCAAGGCCAAAACGGTATGGACTCACCACCAAGGGGGAAGGCGAGGCAACTGCCCCAGATGCACTGGCCACGCCGGAGGCTGGGGCTTTGTTCAGAGAGGCTTCGCGTCCGCTTTGGGAACAGCATGGAGCTTCCTGCTCAACACTGCAGCCATTGATCTGAGCAGATGCTCCGCTCGCAGGGGGAAATTCGGGTAAACAAGCGGTACCAGGCTGTCCCCGGGCACTGTTCTGCTTTGCAGATGAGTGATTTACGTCATCTTCCCAGGAGCAAATGGCCGCAGCTAGGTTGGCCAGACGGCCCCGTCTCCCCACGAGAGTGGCTGAGGCACCTGCGATGGGAGGCTCGGGGGCAGAGGCAGCCACCGCTTCCTCTGAGGGCACTGGTGAGAACAGTGAGCTTTCAGGGATGTCATCTGAAAAAGTTTTCATAAAAACAGTTAAAATCCAGGTCTAAAAGTCATACTTAAATACCAGGGTCATGCAGCCAAGGGAATTTTTAAATGAGATTAATAAATTTAAGAACTAGTAAAAAGTTCTCATATTTATGAAACTATCAAGCTATTTGAAGTTGACAGTACCTTTTCAATCACATATTATACAAATTTTAAAAAATAGCTACACCAGGACCAGCAGGCAGTGCAGTGGTTAGACACTGGATTCCCACATGGCTGAGCACGGTTCAAGTCCTGGACCCAACAGCTTGAAAATCATGCTGGGCATGTGTGCACATGTGATCAAAATCCCAGGAGGAAAATGGAAGAGAAGGGATTGCGGGGTGGTCATGTACCCTGGGGGGTGACTTCTCACTTTCTGTCTCTCTCCCACAAGCACATGTTCCCCATGGGAAAAAATCTATTAAAGAGGGTCGGCAGGTGGCATGGTGGTTAAGGGTGCTGGACTCCCACATGGCTGACCACGGTTTGAGTCCTGGACCTGGCAGCTTGTTCTCTCACTTTCTCTCTCTTGCTCTTACTCTGTCCCTCTCTGTGGTCAAATGAAAAGAAATGAATAAATAAATTAAATAATTCTTTAATAAAAGAAAGAACCTTTTAAGGAAGAGTTACACCTTTTCTTTGGAGGATTATGAATGCTGTAAGACACTATACATGTAGGTCACATGCTTAGAATTCATGGTGTTGTAACGGTGCACAATTTAAGACGACATTCCACAGAGGCTTGTTTTAAAGCCAGATTATCATGGTGGTGAAGGCCGCTGTATCCCACATGGCCATCCATGCAGTTCAAGGCCCAGACCCAGCGGGGTAAAAACACACGATGCGCATGTGCACGAAGTCCTGAGGAGGAGATGTGAAGGAGGGACAGTGCGGCCACCCCCCAAGGACGGTGTGTTCCCCTTCCCTTTCACTCTCTCCCTGTCTCTCTCTCAGTTGCACGAGCACTCTAGCAACTGAGAACAAACCGAGGAACGAATTCGACGGTGCGACAAGGGCTTGCTGTGACGCGGGCGTGGCCTGTACTTGCTCTGCTCAATACAGCGGCCACGGGCTACCTGTGAGCCACTGAGCACTGGGAGTACAGCGAGGGCGACCGCAAGGCCGCACGCTCCTCCATGTGGCTAGTGGCCCATTCACAGTTAGACTAAATCAATGTTCTTGCAGTTACTTCACGTGGGGCCGAGTCCCAAATACTGATATGTAACTGACGAGGGATCTAGGCCTGAGTCCTGGGAGCCTGTGTACCAGGGAAGTCCTGGCTCACCTTCTCGTCCACAAAGTCCGCGGGGCAGAGGCGTCCTTCCTAAGACTTGCAGCTCCGTGTCAACGTCCAGTCCCGTCCCTCCAAAACCATAGAGATCTTGCCCCAGGAGCCCCCTCCCTACGCTCCTTCCCCTTATCCAGAACTGCTCAAGTCCCTCTCATCTTTTTTTAATTCTTTTTCAATCTGACAGAGGGTTCGTGCACTCCCTGGAGACAGAGAGAGAGAAAGCGGAAGCACCCCCATGGGGAGCGGCTGCACCATCCCCTCCTGCCCACCCCTCCTGCCCACCTCTCCTGCCTCAGGGTGGCAGGCACTTGCTCATATGCAGCCGGTGCATCTCTCAAGCTGCCAGTCAAGACCGAACCTCACGGCCACGTGGGACCCAGCGCCTCCAGCTCCACACCAAGGCGGCCCCAGGTCATGTCAAAACTAAGCAGGGTTGGCCCCATAGCCTAGTGGTTGAGGGAGCCAGATCCCACCTGGCCACCGCACAATTCAAATCTGAGGCCCAGAGGCGTAAAGAACCCGCCAGGTGCATGTGCACCCCAAATCCCGACAGGATGGAGAGGGAAGACAGGGACTGCAGCATGACTACCCTCCGGGGGGCTTTCTCGTTCTCCCTCCCTCCCTGTCTTCAGTTAATATTTACTTTTAAATGTTCTAAATCACTGCAATGCTTTATGCTCAAAACATCTAGGGCCTCGGTTGTTCTGAATATGTGTTAAATCATAACCCTTCTCTCTCCACAGGAAAATCTGCACTCTGCTGCCCATAGGGCACTGGGCTCCCACATGGCCAACCATGGTTTGAGTCCCAGACCCAGGCTTGAAATTCGCCAGGCGTGTGTGCATGTGTGCCCAAATATCCCAAGAGGAGAATGGAGAAGGGACTGTGGAATGGCCACCCCCTGGGGGGGATGATTTCTCACTTTCTCTCTCTATCTCTCAGATAAGTACACGTGTCCCGTGGCAAAAATCTCTCTTAAACAAACAAACAAAAACATGGTTGGGCTAACCCCTTGGCCTAGTGGTTAAGGAAGCCAGATCCCATGTGGCTGACCGTGGTTTGAATCCCAGTCCTGGCACGTTGGCAGCTTGAAACAGAGTTAATCTCCCCTACTACTAAGACAGACAGGTACTAGCTGACACCACCGGTCATGTGCACTCCGTGACGCACTCTAGACATCAGGCAGGTCACAGCGGTTAAGAATAAGAGCCCTGGGGTCGAGTTACTGGAGTGTGAATTTTAGCTCGCTGGTTGTGGGCAGGTTCCTTGGCCTTCGAATCCAGTTTCCCCTTCTATAAAGTGGAGATAAAAGTAGTATCTCATGAGATTGTTGCAAGAATTAACACTATTAGGGCAACAAAACCCTTCGCACTATTAGCACAAGAAATACTGGCTCGGCCATGGGGATGTGGTGCTCAGTGCTGTGCTCCACAAGCTGAGACCGCAGGAGGTTGGGTTCAATTCCTGGTCTGACCTGTGACAGGCTGGGCGAAGTGCCATCTACCTGCATCCCAGCAACTCGGGCTGAGGCTGGAGTTTAACGGCTCGAGGCTGGCCTGAGCAACATGCCAGACCCTCTCTAACAAACAGCCAGCATGTGGCCAGGTCTGAAGTCCCAGCTGGGAGGCTGAGACAGGGGAACTGAGACACAGACAGATTCTGTCTCTTAAAAAGAGAAGAGGGGGGGAAAAAAGGACAGGACTGGCAAGTGGCATGGAGGTTAAAGCGGCTGAATCCTCCATGACTGACTGCATGGTTCGAGTCTCAGACCCAGTGCTTGAGAACCAAGCCAGATACATATGCATGTGTACCCCAGATCCAGAGAATGGAGAAGGGACTGCTGCGTGACACCCCCCGGTGCGTGATTTCTCACTTTCTCTTTCTCTCTCTCGAGAGCACATACACCTATAACCCCTAAAAAGCACATGTGGAGACTATTATCCTCACTGTCAGAAAACACAACCTTAAACCCTCTAGTATCCCAACCTTACCAAAATTTCAGTAAAAAGAATGTATATTTACAGAAGACTGTCTGAAATATAACTCGTCTATACTTTTTGCAAATCATTTGGTCTTAATTCTAGCTATACATCGAATTATAAAAAGAACTTTTAAAAAATAAGGCAATGGCACACCCTGGGGCTCCACCTCATTTCTAAGATTCAAATCCAATAGTCTGAATGACTACAGTACTCAACAGCCAGCCTGAGACCCACAGTTAAAGGAATACTTCTTTGAGGAAGGCCCCGTAGCCACTGAGCTGCACACCTGCACTGGTCTGTCCCCCTGTGAGCTGCGCCCCCTGCACCAAGTCGTCCCCCTGTACTGAGCCATCCCCCTGTGAGCCGTCCCCCTGCACTAAGCCATCCCCCCGTGAGCCATCCCCCTGTGAGCTGTCCCCCTGCACTGAGCTGTCCCCCTTTGAGCCACCCACCTGTACTGAGCCATCCACCTGCACCGAGCTGTGCCCCTGTGAGCTGTCCCCCTGCACTGAGCCGTCCCCCTGCACTAAGCCATGCCCCCGTGAGCCATCCCCCTGTGAGCTGTCCCCCTTTGAGCCACCCGCCTGTACTGAGCCATCCACCTGCACCGAGCTGTGCCCCTGTGAGCTGTCCCCCTGCACCGAGCCGTCCCCCTGTGAGCTGCCCGCCTGCACTGTGCTGGTTCACTTCATAATTGTTTATTCTGAACCAAGCTTGGAGTCAGGCCACCTGCCTACCTTGAGAAATCGCGTAGGTTTATTAGTCCACACAAAACCACGTTTGGAGACACACAAATGAATGTCTTCTCAGGTCTTTGCACTAGCCATTAACGAGAGGCCCCTATGGTCTTCACTTACTAACTAACCTTACCTCTCGTGTGGTTTCCCTCCCCACGTTTCCTCCTCACCCTGACGTCTGTTTCCCTGTAACTCTGGTATTTTTGAGCATATCTCAGGCTGGGTTGGTTGGTTTTTTATAACAAAGCATGAGATAAATAAAACTGATCATAGCACAGACAATCCTGTGGCTTAACTTCTCATTTGCTTCTCTGGCTCCCCACCCGAGGCTCAGGTGGGACCTTTCGCCTGTTTCCGGAATGCTGCATATCGTCCTGCTTGGCGGCGTGCTGCATGTGTCTGAAATTTCCCTCCTCCCTGCTGGACACCGCTGCCTACCTCAGTCCCTCCCGATTACTTGTTAGTGGACCCATGAGTACAGAGATTACACGGAGCTTTAACCTTCCATGTGAACTGGGAACACATTCGGCACTACGACGGCCTCTCACCGAGACCGCTCCAGGACCACGCACGTCTGCCGTACCTGCTGCGTCGTCATCCCAGCGGCGCCGCTGCTCGGCCAGCTTCTGCATGCGTGTCCTCACCGACGAGGCTGCAGCGGCTTCCGACCTGGGCTGCGGCCCTGCCCGTGTGCCCAGCAGCGATGCGGGGACGCCCACGGCATTGCGGACGGCATCGCTCACGGCGGCTGGTGTTTGTGCCGCTGCCTGCGAGGACGTGGGAGCAGAACGAGCTTCCGTGGGAGCCGGCCCAGCTGGCTGCCTATTTTCCAAGTTGGCGACTTCGGCCTCCGCGCCGTCGGAGCAGCGCTTCTTCGACGGTGACGGCTTTGTACCAGAACTCTCTAGATCAAAAAGGACCAAAAGACATTAAAAATGTTAGTCTCTCACAGCACAAAAAAGCTGAAGTAGGCACGTAACAAAAGATTAAGTTTCTATTATTTTAACTGATTTTATTTACAAGAAACACCTAGAACCCCGCTCTCCTTTAAAACTTAGCAATCTGATATGGAAATTGCCTTGGGCCCCGCCAGTGGCATGGTGGGTAAGGCAGCGGGACCCCACATAGCTGACTGCGTGGTGCAAGACCCAGACCTGAAGGCTTGAAAAGCTCTCTAGTGTGTGTAGGCCTGCCCCGAATCCTGAGGACAGAGAAGGGACTGCAGCGTGCCTTCTCCTGCTCTCTCTCTCACTCTCTCTGTCTCTCTCCAGTGAGAGCACATGCCATATAGCAAACATTTAAAAACCAAAAAAATGATTTATTATTTTTTTTAATTTGGCAGAGGGTACACGCACTCTCCAAAGAGAGAGAGAAATCGAGAAAGCACCATGCAAGAGGGACGGCCGGGCTACAACCCTTGTCCTCCACTCCTCCCTCCTTGCTCATGAGACTCTGGGCACGCCCACACACGTGCCTGGGTGTTTTTCAAGGCCCCAGTTCTGGGACTCAGACTGCAGTCAGCCCTGTGGGACCCAGCCACCTTAATCACCATGCCACTGGCTGGTCTGAAATGTTTCTCTTTTAGCAAATATATTACTTATGCTTTAAAAATCTTAATTTAAAAAAAAAAAATTTAGAAGGCCACCTCGTACCCTGCCGTTTGAACAGGCTGACAATAAATTCCAGCTTTGGTGATCTGAAACACGCTGGCTTATACGCACACACCCAGACCCCGCCGGGATGGAGGAAGCAAAGGGGTAGTGGTGTGAGCACACCCCACTGGCAGCGGTGCTTTCTCTCTGTCTGTCTCTGGCAATTAAAAATGATAATTAAAAATAAAAAGATTGTACTTCCTATTACAATGGAAATGACTTTTTAAAAAATAAATTTAAATCATATTTCAGTACATAAACATAATACTTCACATAGTCTTAAGACTATAGTAAGGGACCAGCAGATGGCGTAATGGTTACATCACGGACTCCCATGTGGTCTCTGTCTCTCTGTCTCTCCAGCGAGCACACTCACCCTATAGCAAAACTCTAACAACAATGACCAAAAAAAGACGATAGGAAATAAGTCCATACACACAGAGTGAGTAAGTGTTCGTGCTGATTTTAAAGGTTATACAGCAAACCAATCATCTCATTTTTTTCTTTTTGCTAGAGATTTTTGCTATAGGGCACCTGTGCTCACCAGAGAGACAGAGAGACAGCAGGAAATCACCCCCTAGTGGGGATGACCACACGCCGCAATCCCTTCTCCTCCAGTCTCCTCTCAGGATCCAGTCACACACGCACAGGCACCAGGTGTGAGTTTTAAGCCGCCTGTTCCAGGACTCACCATGGTCAGCTACGTGGGAGTCCAGCAATGTAACCCTTATGTCATCTGCTGGTTCCTGGTCGCCTCATATTTAGGTAAGAAAAATCAAGCCTAGAGAAATTAAGTTGTTCACCTAAAGTCACGCAGCTAGACTAAGAACTAAGAAACCTGCTTTTCTATATATGAACCAGAAACCACAATAAAAAAGGAGAGGAACCAGGTTTTTATTTCTGAAACAATCTCTCATGGACAATGACCAGTAAGCAAGGGTACCTGGCTTGAGAGTTAGGGGAGAGGCAGAGAAAAAGACTAAATTATCTGGTCAACTTAAAGCAAATTCATAGTACAGACACTTGACATTTCACAATGTAAACTATGGACACATACAAAAATATAAAAATCAATGAAAAGGGGACCAGAAGTTAGCGTAATGGCTATGTCGCTGGACTCCCATGTAGTCGACCGCGGTTCAAGTTCCGGACCCGGTGACTTAAAACTCACGCCAGGCGCATGTGCGTGCGTGCCCAAGATCCCGAGAGGAGAATGGAGGAGAAGGGATTGCGGTGTGGCCATCTCCCCTGGGGGGTGATTTCTTGCTTTCTGCTTTCTGTCTCTGTCTCTCTCTGTCCAGCGAGTGCATAAACCCAATAGCCAAAAAATAAAAAAAGAAAAAAATAAACCTCTCCCAAAAATAATAATAATAATAATGAAAAGGTCCTAAAATAAAGAGATAATCCAAACATAAGACACGCTGTGTTGTTGGAAAAATCATAACGTATTTTTCTACATTTTTTAAGCAAAAATACATCTTAACTTTTCTGAAAATCCAATATAATTTCTACCCATGAATGAGTTTCAGCACATCTACAAAATTAAGTTTGAGAAGGAGGGATGTAAATCCCACATGTGGTCACTGTGCTCGCTGTCTCACCACTGCTCTTGTTCTGGCAACGACCAGATGAGCGCTGGTGGGAAGCCATGAGCCCTCGAGGACATTGGCCTAATTAAATTCACAGCATTAACCGTTCTCATTTTTCTGTGGACCCACAAACTCATCTTTTTTCTTTTTTTTAAGGTTTTTGCCATAAAGCACATGTACTCACCAGAGACAGAGAGAGAGAATCAGTGAGTGGTAAAGTGAGAAATCACCCTCAGCAGGGATGGCCATGGCAAATTCCCTTCTCCTCCATTCTCCTCCTGGGATCTTAGGCACGTGTGCACATGTGCCTGGTGTGATTTTGAAGCTGCCAGGTTCGGGACTTGAACCACAGTTGGTCATATGGGAGTCTAGTGTCTTAACTACCATATGACCTGCTAGCTCATCTAATCTTTTTAAAAAAAAAAAATATGTAACTGTAAGGAAATTAACTCTTGGGGGGCCAGCAGGTGGTTAAGAGCACTAGACTCCCACGTGGCTGACCACAGTTCGGTTCGAGTCCCAGATCTAGTGGCTTGCTTTCTCTCTCTCTCCCTCTCTCCCTCCCTCTCTCTCTCTCTCTCTCTCACTGTCCCCCTCTGGTCAAATTAAAATAAATAAAATAATTCTAAAAAAAAACAGAAAATTAACTCTCACTCACTTCCAAAATAGCCAAGCCAGCCCTATGCTCTCTTCTCTAGTTCTTCTTAACACTAGTTTTGCCTCTGTAATATTCTTTCTCTACCTGTAAGTATTTTAAGTTGTGCCAAAGAAGATTACTATCTAGAGTATTTCACACTCCAAAAACAACCAACAAGGGCTCGCCAATACTGCTGAGAATGCCAAGTTAGAGAAGAGTCCAGGTGAATTTGCTTTGTGTGTTTGCATGTGGCGTGTTTGTGTGTGCTTCTTTTTCAATTCTACCATGCCTGTAGATGAACAAGTTAAACTTCTACTACGTCCTGCAGAGTTGGCTCAGCAGCATGTGTGCTGTCTCCCTTCCGTTGCCTTGCTCATGCAAGAGACATGATCTGGGGACCAGCAGTTAGCACAATGGCTATGTCGCTGGACTCCCACATAGTCGACCGCGAGTCGAGTCCCAGACCCGGTGGCTTAAACTCACACCGGGCGCATGTGCGTGCGTGCCCAAGATCCCGAGAGGAGAATGGAGGAGAAGGGATTGCGGCGTGGCCATCCCCCCTGGGTGGTGATGTCTCACTTTCTGTCTCTCTGTCTCTCTCTGTCTGTCTGGCGAGCACAGGCGCCCTATAGCAAAAACCTCTCCAAAAAAAAAAAAAGAAAGAAAGACATGATCTGAACTGACACCAGTCACTATCGGGGTGAAAAAACTACATCACTGTCAGGATAAGCGTTAGCCTGTCCCTTCATTTTCCTTCCCTCAGGATTTTGAAGGGTAGCTTTGGACTGAAGAAAATAATATTCGATTAACCTGAAATGTGTAAAAGAAACTCTCCTCCAGCCTAATGGGTTCTAGAGCTAAGATGATAAGCCTGAAATAGAATAACAGGCTGCTCTTAACCCCCAAAGGCTATTACATTCGCCTCCCAAAGACCTAGGTTTTCGTTTCATTTTATTTTACTGCCATAGGATTCATACACTCGCCAAGGAGAGACAGAGAGAGGGAAAGTGAGAAATCATTCCCTGGGGGAATAGCCACTCCATAATCCCTTTTCCTCTGTTCTCCTCCTGGTATTTTGGGCATGCAAATTTTCAAGCCACCATGTCTGGACTTCAACAATGTTCAGACATGTAGGAGTCGAGCATCTTTACCATGCCACCTGCTGGCCACCAAGACTTTGATTCTTTTGCATGTATAATGAAATGTTGGGGGCTCATCTCCTTTAAACAATATATTTTCTTTTCTCTCTGCCATGGCTTGAAAAATGGTTTGTCCCCTAAAATTTGTTTGTGAGAACTTGGTCCCTAACATCTGGCATCGAGAGGTGGTTAGACCTGCAAGAGGTGAGGTCTCGTGGGCAATGGTTGGATCGTGGGGCATTGCCCTGATGAATGGATTAATGCGGTGTATGAAGGGGGTGAGTGCTCACCATCAGTTTCTGTGAGAATGGGATGTTACGACAGGTGGCCGTCCCAAGTCTGCCTCCCTGCCACAGCTGCAGCCCTTTCCACTCTTCTGCACCCCGCTGTGATGCAGCAGCAGCTGGGCCAATGCTGCCTCATGTTTGGACTTCCTAGTCACCAGAACCGTGAGCCAAATAAACCTCTATTCATCGTAAATCACATGGTCTTAGGTATTTCTATCACCACAGGAACAGGCTGAGACACCCCCCAGTCTTTTACCTTTCCCGCTAGATTGGTGTTGCAGGTTATCTGCTTCTGAAAGCGGCTCCCGGGCTCGCTTACTGTGAGCCACAGACCTTGCTGCGGCCGTAGGCCTCTCCGCCATTTTTCTCTGAAGATTTTCTCGCCTGGCACGGGTTCTTTCAAGCAGTTTCTACATGTATAATATAACAGAGTGTTAAAATACAAGTTTGGTCAAAGGTTCACAAGATTTTGGTTACCTCCTAAAATCATCAATTGCTATATAGAGTAACAGTTAAGTACGTCAAGAACCAATGCGTAGGGCCCACTGGGCAGCATGGCAGCCTGCATGGATCCAGTGTTGTTTGAGCATAGCATGTTTTTCAAGTCTCCGAGGCAGGGATTCGAACCATGTTCTACCATGTGGGATCCAGCTCCCTTAACCACTCACTAGATCATGAGTCCAGCCCCACAGATACTTTCTGCTGCTACCAAAAGGTAGATTCTATCTCCCTACCCTTGAAACTGGACTAGGTTTGTAATTTCTTTTGACCAATAAAATGGCATGGGCTATCCTGTGACTCTTGAACCTAGGCCTCGTGAAGTCTCACACAGTTCCTGTTCCCCTTCTTAGAAACAGCCACCACGCAAGAAAGTCCCAGGTAGGCCTGTCCCACTGACAGCCAGCACTGACCACTGAGGCACAAGAGTAAAGCCCCTGAGGACTCCTGCATGACCCCAGGCGAGAGCAGAACAGTTCCTCCAAGTTCAGGGTCAACTGCAGACCCATTGCATCATGGGGAATAAAATGGTGCTGTTTAAGTCACTATGTGGGGTGAAATAACAGCCCCACAGATGTCCACGTCCTGGTCTCTAAGCTATGAAGACTTACCTTAAGCAGCAAAAGGACTTTGCTGATGTGAACATTAACTAAGAACCTTGAGAGGGAAAAACTGCCCTGGATTATCTGGGCGGACCCAGATAATCACAATGGTCCCCACATTGGAGGGGACAGGAGGGCCAGTCAGGGAGGAATGACGATGGAAGCAGGACAGTGTGATGGGATTGGTGCTTGGAGGATGGAGGACCCAGCCTCCTGCAGGTGGCTTCTGGCAGCTGGAAAAGGTAGACCCACTTTCCCCTAGAGCCCCGAGAGGAACAAAGGCCTGCCAAGCCCTTGACTGTCACCCAGTGAGATCTATTTTAGACTCCAGACTGTAGGACTGAACGGTAATAAATATGTGTTATTTTATGTCACTAAGTTTGCAGTAGCTTGTGACAACAGTAAAGCTAATACAGCCACTAAGATTCGGGGTGGTGGTATCAGCACAAGAAAAGTGACATCTTAGACCTGTGAAAATAAACAACACTTCCTAGGAGAAAAGAAAAAGCCTGACAATCTTACATTTTTATTTCGTTAAATGTCAATAAACAAAAGGCTTTAAAGTCGGAGTGTCAGCCATTCCATAAAAATGTCTCCTTTTCCCTTGCCCCAAATCAGCACACGCTCCGACTGGACTAGTGTGGCACAGCTCAGACACGGGCCTATTACAGGTGTATTCTTCCAGACGCCCACAGCGGAAGGCGGGAATGCGGGTTATTACCACCTCCATGTGCTCATATACAGTAGCTAGTGCAGAGTGAGGAATTAAGCTCCATTTGAGCTTTGTAATGCCTTAATTTAACAGAACCGTCATTTTAAATAGTTCTCCGAGTATAGAGAAGAAGCTAAATTTGGAAGAAGGTACAACTCTGTTCTCTTTACAGGAATGATTTTTTTTGGAGAGGTTGTTGCTATAGGGCACGTGCACTCGCCAGACAAAGAGACAGAGAGACAGAAAGTGAGAAATCGCCCCCCGGGGGGATGGCCACGCCGCAATCCCTTCTCCTCCATTCTCCTCTCGGGATCTTGGGCACACACGCACACACACCCAGCATGAGTTTAAGCCACCAGGTCCAGGATGGGAACCGTGGTCGACTACATGGGAGTCAGCAACAGCCATTAAACCAACTGCTGGTCCCACAGGAATAATTTTAACCTAAAGTTTATAGCTCAGAGGTTAAGCCCTGTGCATCAAGCTGGACCCCACAGGGCAGGCTGTGGTTTGAATTCCAACCCCGTCAACTGGAAAAACACAGGGCACATGTGCATGCATGCCTGAAACCCTGGTAAGATGGAGGAACGGAGGAAGGGAATTGCAGTGCGACTACACCCCACTGGGTCCCCTCTCTCTCTCTCTCTCTCTCTCTCTTTCTCTCACCAGTACACGTGCCCTCTGGCAATTAAAAAAGAAGTTCATTAAAAAAGTAACACTAAATCAAAATTCTGTGTCACGGAAGAGTCATTTATAAACTGAATGCCTTTCAAGACATAATTCTTCTTCACTCTTTAAATAAAAATCTCCTTCAACAAACACAAAAATGATTACACTATTACACGAATTTACATGTCCGACAACTTCTCCTATAATAAGATCTATCACTCCCCGGACACAAGATGAATAACCACATCCATCCACGAACACACCTACATCCCACTCTGCTCACTTCGAGCACTTGTGAGTCAGTCTGGTTCAGTTACTGTAAGCAATGGATACAACAGGACAATGTGGTTTTGCTATTCAAACATACACAAGTGTTCCTTTGTTTAAATTAGAATTCAAAATTTTCCAGATTTAAAAAGACTTGAAGTAGATAAGCAATAAAAGTTCTCCCATTTGGAGACCAGTAGATAGTGTAATGGCTATGTTGCTGGACTCCCACATCATCGACCATAGTTCAAGTCCCAGACCTGGTAGCTTAAAACTCACACTGGGTGCATGTGTGTGCGCGCCCAAGAGCCCAAGAGGAGAATGGAGGAGAAGGGACTACGGCGTGGCCATCCCCCTGGAGGGTGATTTCTCGCTTTCTGTCTCTGGTGAGTACACGCACCCCAAAGCAAAAATCTCTCAATAAAACAGTTCTCCCATTTGTAAAATAAGGCTAGGAATAGGAAGCATTAAAACCTATTGAAATATATAAGTTCAACAGCTCACTAAAAGTTAAGTACCCCATCCTTATTATATAATATAGTCCTTGTCAGGAATATAAAGATTCTTTTAAACATAAGGTACATTCCTTCGAAATATCACACCTTCTTCAAATAGTAAACATATAAAAAAAAAAAAAACCTTGGAGGTAAAATATTTGGGAAATAAGACATCCCACACAAATGAATCTCAGATAACTGAAGCTTCTGTCCCTAAACAATTCGTCACGTACAGCCTCCAAACCATTCCTGACGAAATTTTCTCAGGTGTTACAGGTTTTCCTGCCTTCCTAAACAGCAGATTCCGTGTAAGCTAACTTGTCTTTTTCAGTATGCTCTCGCCACTTTGTCTGGTCAACACAGACTTTCATTTAATTCCGGAAAACAAAGAGAAATCCCGTCCAGAACGGCAGCAGCACACCGTGGCCCGCCTCCAACCAGCAGAGGACGCTTTACAGAGCACTTTGGCTGTAGCTCCCCGTCAGGTGGGACTCTGGGAAGCCCGACCGAGCGCACCCAGCTCTGGGCTCCCTGCACTACTCTTCTCAGACAGGATGACTCACTCACACACTGGGTGCAAGCTAGGACGACGCCCCTGAGGAGTAGGGCGGTTATGGTTTCCAATCCACCTAGCAAGTCCAGCAGCCATCAGCAGCGAGACAGAGGACTTAACACAGAGTACCGACTGTGTGCCACAGGGGATTCATTTCGCTCTCAGAGCCCCATTCAGCAGGTTCTGTTTGTACTGTCGACACACAAGAACCTGAGTGGCAGGGTACGTAACCAACACTGGGGCACACAGCTAGAAATCCTGAGGCGGATTCGAACGTCATACTCCTAAGACTGGGCTCTTAACCATTTTGCTATGAACTCCCCTTGACTAAGTCTAATTTCCTTCTTTTTACTATTAACTTGATTTATTATGAAGACTCCCAACAGAGCCCTCACTGCACGACCCGCTGCCAGCCTCGGCCAGTCCCGATCACGGGTGAGCACAGGCATGACCTGCCCGCTGCCAGCCTCGGCCAGTCCCGATCGCGGGTGAGCACAGGCATGACCTGCAGGTACAGGCATGCCCAGGTCCCGGGCTGGGTGCCGTTTTTAACTTACAGTCAGCAGAGCTAGCGGCAGCGTCAAAACGTTAACCTTTTCTCAGCTGATCGCAATAGATACTTGCCTTAACTGTGCTAGTTCATGAGTCAGCAGGAGATAGATTCTCTTCATTGCCATGGGGCATGTGCTTGCCAGAGACAGAGGGGGCGAGCACCCACTAAGGGGCAAGGTCAGGCTGCAGCCCCTTCTCAGTTCCTGCAGCCTGCTGGGATTCTGAGCACCTGTGCACATGCTCCCCAGCACGTGTGTCGAGCACCCACCGGGGCCATGGGGGATCTGGGTCCTTTAACTGCTAGGCCGGAGGCAGCCAGATCGGTTCTTTTTTCTATTTCTAGTTGGTCCATAAGAAACATGAAAAAATGCTGCCTGTCAACCTACCTAGATCTGATTCAAACAAAGTACAAAAACCATGAAACACTGGGGACATCTGAACTCTGACAGGATATACGATGATATTAAGAACTGCTTTTAATTTGGAGGCCATGACGACACTCTGATTATGTTTTTGTAAGTGTCCTTAGTGTTTATTAATAAATGCAAAAGTGTGTGTGTGCGAAATTATGTGGCACCTAGCTTTAGCAGAATTCAGTGGACAGGTAAAAGGGTGCCACATGAACAACCTGGTCACGTGCCAATCACTCCAAAGCCAGGCGATGGTGCACGAGGGGTTATTCCACGCCTGTGTGCTTTGAAGTTCCCTCAGTAAGAAAAGGAACGTTGATGAAACGTTCTGACAGTTACTGCTGTATGTAATTATTTGCTAAGTAATTTGCGCTGTATGGCTTTCTGCATGTTAACTCAACAACCTGTAAGTAGATGTACCTGATGTTAGGGAACATGTCTCCGAATACGGAATAAAGGTCTCTGCCTCCATGAAGACCCAGTCTGGCAGGAACACCTCCAACGGGTGAAGGCACTCAACAGCTAAATATGAGTGAGATGCGCACTGTGAATGGCGAACCCCCTCTGAAGGGGGAGACCGGTGTCCAGGTCAAACCAGCCCACCTGGCAGGACGGGAGAGTCAGACAAGACCAGTGACAGCAGGCA